CTGAAGCAGAATATATTGCCCTAACTGAAGTTGTGAAGGAAGAATTGTGGCTTGAAGGTTTTGCAAAGAAGCTAAAACTTCAAGGTCAAATTATCATTGTTAAATGTGATAGTCAAAGTGCAATACACCTGTCGAATAATTCATCCTATAATGAGCGAACCAAGCACATTGATATGAGGCTGCATTTCGTCAGAGGGGTAATCGAGCATGGAGAAGTCTAAGTGCTGAAGGTTTTGACAGATCATAATACTGCTCATATGATCACCAAGACGTTGCCCAATTGCAAGTTTTTCCACTGTATGCAGTTGATAAAGCTAGTTTCTTGATGTTATAGAGTTAGATCCAAGGTGGAGATTTTTGAGATGTTGGATCGAACTCTAGTATGGTCGAAGGGTAGCTTCTAGTTTGACAGAAATTAAGCATGAGGTCAAAGTTTGTTCTAACATGCATTAGTCAATATTGCTAGGGTTGTTAGCATGTTGAATTGGGCCTTGCTTGTAAGCCCAATTGTTTAAGTTAGCTTGTCATGGGTAATTGTTAAAAAGCCCATTAGGTTAGTGTGCTATTTTTCTTATAAATAGGATGCTAGTTTATCAATCTTGGCATAAGGAAAAATAGGAAGATAAAATCCAAAATTCAAGAGAGAGAGGTTATTTTGTTATTTTGTATACTTATAATCTTGTTCTTAGAGTAAGGAAAAATAGCAGTTTATAACCAATCCTTGTTGTTCCTTGTTGTTTTACCTTGTTATCTTTATTAACCCTAATCCTTGTGTGTTTCTTGATCATAAAAATATTGTTTATATTTTGTTTCAAGACAAACGATTCACAACATATAGTGTGTGTTAATTCTTTTGGCATTGTTCATCATCGTCAACCTTAGTCTGAATTCAATGTTATGGACCCTCATCCCTAAATATTAACAGTTTAAAGGAGACTAGAGGTACATTATAGTATATAATGTTTTGTGTAATGTTTTCTGTTTGTAACAAGTGCAATGTTCGTTTCTTGAGTGCAATTTGGTCGTTGAGTTATCTATCAAGAAGAGAGTTTCATTATACTCCATGGAAGACTTTGGCGAAAAAAGCATCTTCTAGTGACCTACCATTCCAAGGTTGAGTTTTATCTTGATTAATCCTACTTAAAGATGGATATGCATTCATATATGTCAATGTGCTTAAATTTTATGAGAGATTAAAGAAAGAAGAAAAAAAGATTCTTCTATTGACCTACTCTTCCAAGGTTATTGTATAAAGAAGATGAATGTGGTTTGTAACATTTGGAAATGTTCTTTGATATTCTCAATAATTTCTAAAGATTCAAGGGTTTAAAAGTATCCCTTGAAATGCTAATAATTGTCAAATAGTTGAATATATTATCTGAGATTGTCAAGATATGTCGAGCAAAGATAATTAGAAAGTCTTATGAAAGAGAGTCTGATAGTGATTTTTAGTGCAAGAGGAGTTGTATCCAATTTTTTTATGATTGGTCATATTTTTTCTTATGCTATTATTGTTTTTGATTACTAATCATTTTTGTGAGCATCTAGTTAAGGCTTGATTGCTAGAATTGGTATGATTGTTTCAACCCTCATTTATTCTTTTTGTTGTATGCATATTTGTAATTATTTCTATTCATAAGTATATTGTTTGTATGAAATATGTGTATGTGTTATGTTTGTGCATCTCACATTTTATTCATTCAATTGTATTATCAATTTAATTTTTATTTCGTCTGTGCATAGCATCTACATTCGCAATAGTAATTCATTCATACATTTTCATCTATTTATAGCCATACAAACATTTTGGTATTTTCATCAAAGATATTTTTCTATGAAAACCTTTACTTGGTTTCATCAAATTATTTAATGGAGTATAGAGAAAATATTCTCTCTTTTCAGATAACACACAACCAATATCCATGCCAAACAAAGAATTCTTTGACTTGATACATACAACAAAGCTTCAAGGAAAAACATTAGATTCACTAATGTACCTTTAATCTACCTTTCACACTCAATCTTTAGAAATGAAGATCCATAAAAATTGATTTTCAAAAGTTAAAGATGGTGAATAATATCTGAAAAATCAAACACACACACACACACGCGCACACACACACACACACACACACACACACACACACACAAGTACGCACACACACATACACAACTAACTCTCACAAGATAAAAATTCTACGAGGTTAATCTCAAGGTATCAACAAAGAGATAGGTGTTGGTGAATGAAGAATACACACTCGGGTTCTCTCAAGGTTCTTGGAAAAAATATGTTTCTTGGTTCTTGGTGAATATCTCGAGATTGATCAATTCAATCCATGAATGATCGTTTCTCCTCTCTTGATTTTTTCTTCTTTCAAAAACATACAATTGTGTAATAAGAGATTGCACTCATCCCGTTTTTTGGTTTTTGGTAACACTTTCTATGTATCATAGACAAGAAAAAGAAGAGGTAGGAGATTTGGCGCTAGAGTGTAGACACATTAGAAAAATACGGAGACATTAAGATTTTATCAAATCATGAGTTAATGATTCGAATCAAAGAATCAACAAATTGAGTTAAAGGTTGGAAATTAGAAGTTTGAAGCCATAATTCGAGTCATGCACTACTTATGATTCAAGTCAAAGAATGATGTGATTCAAATCACACATTCTCATTATTCGAATCAAATGAGGCACTGGAACATTCTCACTTTTAATGAAGGTTATGATTTGAGTCACATTGTACATGATTCGAATCAAGCTTCATAACAATCTGAATTCAAGTATTTTAACTTCTAATTCAAGCTACACCCACTCTATTGACTTAAATCAAACTTCTAGGATAAAAAGAGAAAACATTATCATGTATTTAACCACTAATTCATTAAATGAGGATGATCTCAAAGGTACAACACTAAACATAGTCGAAGCAAACAGATACAAATAAATTAACAACGAATTACAAACATATGTTAAGTCAAATAATTCACATACATACAAATTGAAAAATTACAAACACACGATAAATCAAATGATGGATATACACACAAACTGACAAATGATTAAAATAAAAATGATATTGATGACGACTATAATTTCATCTAGTTGGCATGTCCATGTTTATGGAAACAAGTGCATACTATATCAATATTGTTTACGTGAAATACTTGATTGAGTTGGAGAGGATTAATTAGCATAACTATGGGATCTTTTGCTTGGTTTACCTCTACTCCAAATTAGGTGAAACTTGTTTATGGAAGACTAAACAGATGACAACAAGCAACACCCTATTTATAGTAATATATTTGCACCTTTATTGTTACTTATATTTCATAATACTTGTACTACGTTGTTACTAATATTTCATCTGAATCATTTCCAGGCATGGAATCTCTAATACTTTCCACGTCTCTTCGGCTAGGCGTATGTGGATTACTAAATTGAGATTTTTCCACATGTTTGCTCCTTTATCTCACTTAGAGGGAATCAGGTGACCGAGTTATTCTTAGTTTACCTTGATCGCATTGCGAAAGGCGATCACCATGAGACACGCCCCTTCGATGAGATACCCTTCTACTCTAGATGACTGGCTTGTGGGTCATGACTAATGTATCTATATCTACTTGAGCGATTCATGCATCAATTTGAGTATCTGTAGGGTTTTTCTAGAGCCCTCTCCATTGGTGCTCCTCCCACAGTCCTCCGTAGAGATGTCGATGAGATATTTGTGGAGTGCCATGATCATTTGGTCATAGAGGATGTACGCAGTGTGCCAACTCATCAACCATGGAGTATTACATACGACTACATCCAATGGTTTCTTAGATTGTTACATCCTTACATGACGCTAGATGCAGAGGGAGATCTACTTAGGTCAGCTCATCAAGAGACATAAGAAGAGGAACAGGTTAGGGCGAACCATGTCATTAAGGTATTATCGATCTATCAGTGTGTTTTGGCTGATTGAAAAGCGAGCATAGAGAGAGGGGGGCTTCAAAAATGCACTCCTATAAGAGAAAATATAATGGCTTGCCTTGCAGTGCAGAAGGTAGAAGAGGAATAGGGGGGTCAAATATACCTAATAGTTATTTTTTTTTTGTTTTTGTATTTTGATAATTTGTATTTTGGTTTGTATTTTGTGAACAATGTATGATTTCATATTTGATTTGTAATATGGTATTTTAATTGGATTACATAAGTGTATGGTTCAATTGAATAACAATCATGTATATTTTTTAAGGTTTATTAAAATATGTCAACTTTATAACAAATTTAATGTCCATGAGGGAAACTTACTATCCCGATGCTTAGTCTGGAACATAACTTCCATAATATCCACTTAATTGTGAAATAAACACTCTATCATATGTTCAAAATACGTCGAAGAGTTAGTCTGAAATTTAACCTACATACTCATTCTTCCTTTAATACGAAGGTTAACTTTCATATTATTTATTGACAAAATGAAGGTGACTCACTTGCAAAGTGTTTTGGTATGTATGTGGGGCATTCAAAAATTAACTTCTACGATATTTCAAACACATTTTTAAATTTCTTAAAGGTGACTCGTCAGCATTATTGGTGTAAATAGCAACCCCTTACTTTTATTACATAAACCATAGAATTTGACCAAATCAAATATGCAATTGGGCCTCATTTCATTACCAAATCTTGTTTTTTTTTCTTTTCTTTTTTCCTGTTTTTCTTCTTCTTTCTTTCTTACCTTTTTGTGTAATAAACTATTTTTCAAATAATTTCGTTTCCTTAATATAAGATATCTCTACTATCAAGTTCTGTAAATATATTACAAACTTTTCGAATCCAAATAATAGTTTATTACACCATATTGTAGACACATAACACCCCTTTTTTCACCGACAGAATATCTACATTGGTGAACAAATTAACACCCACATTTTTAAATATTATGAACCAATAGTCCTTTCATCACATTCTAATATATAACACAATTAACTTAAATTGACTGAATCTTCTGTGTCTTAACCAGAATCAGAACTTCTCTGCCAAAACTTAAAATGAAGAGACCTTCTTTCAAGCATATTCTCCACCTCTTCCATTGGAAGTCCTTTAGTTTCTGGTACAAAGACAATAACAAACACAATGGCTGCAACAGTGATGAAGATAAATATCATAAAAGTCCATGAAACTCCAATAGCTTGTGTCAATGATAGAAAGGATTGAGCAACAATAAGATTTGAGACCCAATTGGATGTAGATGCCATTCCTCCACATATTCCTCTATACCTCAAAGGGTATATCTCAGAGTTAACAACCCATGGCACAGTTCCCATTCCTGGTGAAAAGAATATAATATAGAGGGCAAGTCCTATTATTGCAAGCCATCCAAATTTACTAGGACACCCTCTTGTGTACCATAGTCTATGCTCTTTGTGACACTCATCCTTTGTTGTGTCATTGGATATTAAACATGCTCCAGGTAGTAGCTGCGCAAAAATCAGTTCCAACAATTGTATGAGCCACCCGGGTCCAACTAATCTAAACTAACATTTATTGAACAAAAGTTGCTTGTGAAACAAGGAACTAAAATCACAGATTGAAAAATAGGAGACTTAAATCATGTTTTATTTTATAAGCATACAGAATGTTAATTGTAGTATGTTGGTATTTTTCGCCTTTTGCCAGGGTTTGAACTGATGTCCCTGCATAGCTACCAACTGAATTGACATTCGTGTTTTAGTTAAAATAAGAAAACAAGAGAATTAAGTTGATATGATAAGTTTACCTTATTATCTCCATAAGCACAAAAGCCGCAATCTGGAGAAGCCTTAAGGCACTTCATGCAATCCCATCCACCAGGGTTCACAGCAGCACTGTAATCAGGGCAAGTATTATTGAAATGCAAGGTTTCGACCGCGCTAACCATTGGCGAGTGAGTCGAACTCTGATGAAACACAACAGTCAAAACAACAAGTGACAAAACAACACCAGACAAACTGAATAACAGAAGTTTCTTCCTTCCTGTCTTGTCTATAAAGTATATGCTCAAAATCGATCCAAACGCGTTCAAACCAGATGTGACTAATGACAGAAGAAGTGCAGTTCTATTGGATGCAAAACCAGCTAACTGAATGATTGCTGGACTATAGTACATGACAGTGTTGATTCCTACAAACTGTTGAAAGATTTGAAGGCCCATTCCTGCATATAAACCTCTTCTCACTGTTTTAGTTTTCAGCATTTTGATTATGCTGAGTTTATCAGAAGATTCAGCTTCTTTGATTTCAAATTCAACTGACTCCTTCAGTGTATTAATTTCATCTTCGGCTTCTTGGGGCGGATAAATTCTCTTTAAAATTGCTTTAGCTTCTTCTTCTCTTCCTTTTCGAAACAACCAACGCGGCGATTCAGGGAGCATTATCATCAGCGCGAATTGTAATAGAGCTGGTACTGCTGCTACTCCTAACATCCACCTCCATGTTCCTGGTGCCTGAATAAATTATCACCAAAAACAACTACTAAAATCACTTCTATATAAGCTTAAATTTGAATTCTCACAACACAAACAGTAATAATGTTGAACTGATGAAGAAACTATGCTCACATTTGTGAAGGCTAAGTTGATGAGGTAAGAGAGAAACTGTCCACCAGTGATGAGAAATCCATTCAGACTAACTAAGGCGCCTCGAACTCGAGTTGGAGAAGCTTCTGAGATGTATAATGGTGAGGCCATTGAAGCCATTCCAACACCAAGACCGACAAAAACTCTACCAACAATAAGAAGAGATGAATTCATTGCAGAAGCCATTATTGCAGATCCAATAAAAAAGAGAAAATCTGCAATTAAGATAGCTCTTTTTCTTCCGAATCGATCGTTAATCCATCCACCAACTGCAGCACCTATGATTGCTCCAGCAAGTGCAGTACTCACTATTGCTTCCTGTGTTTACATTTTTTAACAACTTCTGTAACACTACTTTGATATTGTTCATGACAAAAGTAACATCTTTTTCTTACTAAAAAAATTAAAATCAACAAAAAAAATTGGTTGAACAGCAATGCTTCAATATTGCTAGTCTAATTCAAAAATAATTTTTTCAAAATTAATGAATATCATAAAAATTCTTATAGTGAACAGATACATGATAAAAGTACAAATAGATGTTTTCAAATCTTAGCTCAACTCCTGACAAAGATTGATATTACTTAGTCATTAACATCAACATTATCAAGATTTAAACATTAGAATTTTAAGTTGCGGGTGTGTAAGTTTTTAATGATTATTAACATTTCGTCAAGCTACATATAGGTGTATACCCATTAAATGAGTAGACCACATCTCACCATTGATGATGGTTGATGGTGGATGGCGGCGGTTGGCCGCCTCCCACCTCTATTATTATTGTTAAATATTATAAATAAATAAATTTAATTAAAAATAGTTTTTAATTGATAATTAAAATTATATTTAATTATTAAATTATTTTTTAAAGGGTGTAATATAGTTGTATCTTGTATGGTTTTTGGGGTTTTACTAAAATATTAGGCAAATAATAATATATATTATTAGTAGTATTTGCAACATTCCAGAATATTGTATTTTAAATTATTGCCGTTTTTATGGAAATATACTAGTTTTAGGAGGACAGCCCATAACCAGGACCACACCATTATTCGGTGAAAGATGAGATATTAAGATCAAAAACAGAATTATCATTTTACAGACATTTAAACTAATGTGCATCAAGATTTATAAACTTTTGTTTTTTTTATTTTTCATCTAATCAATTGCATGTGATTAGGTCTGAACATAACAGGGTTTATAAACTTTTCTTCATTTTTATCCAAAAACATCGTTCTCATCAAGATGTGAAGAGCTAGCATAAAAACAAATAGTTACTTAAAAAAGTGTTACTAAAAAAGAAATTCAATTGTGTCAGTACTATTCTTTCTGTTTTTAATGTGCAAGTTGATGGTTCGTGACTTGTAAACGGCCGCTTGTTAAGAAGCATGGTTTTAAAAATGTTTCTATTAATTTGAAATCGCCCCAAAACATATTAAAATGTGTCGATAATGATATCATTATTCATCATTTTTATAATAAAGAATAAATCGTCTTACTGCAATCTATGTATAGATAGTAATTTGATTTATTAAAAGATTGATCCATGAATAAAGTTGTTAGCCTGAAAATGTTTAAGAGATAGACACAAATAATATATAAATATATTTTAAAAAAATATTATTAAAGAGATTTTATATTTATATAAAATCAATTTTTTTTATGGAGATGATCCCAATAAGGCAAAGAGAACATTTGTTTCTTTCTTTCTGGTGTAGATAATAATGATGGAAATAAAGACGAAGTACCTGAAGCCAAGTTTTTCTATCCACATCTTTGAAATCATCTCTGATATATAATAGTGCTCCAGATATCACTCCTAAGTAAGTATGAAAAGATCAATAAAACCAAAGACAGAGTGATATAGAAGAAAAAAAAAGAAGATAAAAAACTAACCAGTGTCATAGCCAAAGAGAAGACCGCCGATACCAGCAGAGAAAGCGAGGCGGAGAACATAGGGGTTTTTCCATGACAGAGATAAACACTCTCTGAAAGCTGAGATATCAGCCTCAGGTACTCCACCTTCCATGTCAAAGTGGTGGTGGTAGCGGTGATTAACGGTGTATAAAGGTTTGGTTTTGTTAAGTGAGAAACCGCTGTGCGGAGAGAGTGTATATATAAATAGAAAAAGAAGAGAGGATTATGAATGGCTTACTTCTCAAAGTCAGACTGTAATTCTCTCTAGTCAAGGAAGGACACGGGTAACGTATGCAAATAAATCCAAAATTTTTGACTTGTATATGTATCGGATTCTTTATATCCAATAAATTTTGTGTTAATTTTATCTCTTTCGTTATCGTTTTAAAGTATGTGGACATTTTGTTGCGCTCAAATTGGACTTTTCAAATGAGTTTTAAAATAAATTTAAATTTTAAATGACTTTTATAAAAGAATGAACATGTTTATGTTTTTATTAGATTGTAATTTACTTTTTAGAATAGTTCATTATTACAATAATTTAACATGTAGTTAATAATAACTTAAAATGTAATTAATGATAGTTGTGCATCTGATTACTATTAACTTTGTATGTTGTTATTAATTAAAAGTTTCTGATTTAGGAATATGATCTTATATAGATAATAAAACACATCTTTATAAAATAAACTCAATTGCATTTCAAAAATACTTCTCTCTCAATTGCTTTGTATTCTTTTTTATATTTTTCAATTTGCAAATAACTTGTAATTTAAGTTATCCATCAAATTGGTAACTAGGAAACTTGTTCGATTTTCTCCTTCCATGGCAAATGGGAGTACGATCTCCAACCAGTTCCCATTCAGACTACTAGTTTTTAAGGGAGAAAACTATCATAAATGGTGTGCGCATATGAAAGTGATATTTATATTTCAAGATGTAAGTGAAGTTGTGAATGATGGTTTCTTGGCTTTAGAGAAAAATGCTACTGAAGCGCAAAGAGATGTACATCGTGAAATGAATAAGAAAGATGACAAAGGTTTGTTCATTAGTTTGTAGATTCAAATGTCTTTAAGGAGACCATTGAGCAAGAAATATCCAAAGATGTGTGGGATACTCTCAATAAGTTGTATAATGGAAATGAGAGATTAAAGAAAATAAAGATGCAATCTTTGATGAAATAGTATGAGAATTTGCAAATGATGATGATGAAGCCATTGTTGAGTTCTTTTCAAAGTTGAGGATTTTGACAAACCAAATGAATTAGTGTGGAGAGAAGATCTATGAACTAGAGAAAATGGAGAAGGTTCTAAGAGCTCTTCTTGACAAGTTCAATCACATTGTTGTGGCCATTGATGAGTTCAAAGTTTTGTCACTTAAAAAATTACAAGCATCTCTTGAAGCTCATGAGTTGAGGCTGAAACAGAGAAATTCAGAGAAGGTGTTTGAACATGTTTTACAAGCCAATTTTTCAAGAAAATGAAAGAAGATTCCTCAAAGAACAACAAGGGTAAAGAAAAATGGAAGAAGAAGTGGAATAAAGGTGATGGTGCAGGCAAGAACTAACGAAGTTTGGGTGAGACAAGAAAGAATGGTGCTCCTCACAATCAAAAACTCAAGAAGAAGGTGGAGATGAAGGAAGTTCAATGATTATGTTTCCAAAAGTTTATACATTATGTTAGAGATTTCTACTTAAACAAAGAATAAAATGGAGAAGATAAAGGTGCAGCTTAATTTGCACTTGCTGGAAGTAATGATTCAAAAGAGGTCATTTTGATGGTTGAACCATATTTGGCTCAAGAGAAAGAAAATATGTGGTACCTTGATACAAGTTACAGCAATCACATGACAGGAAACAAAAAATGATTTATCGAATGAGATGAATCAGTGAAGAGATCCATTAGATTTATTGATAATAACATTGTTACATCAGAAAGGATGGGAAACATTCTTTGGGAAAAAAGAATAGCGAAGAAGAAATAATTTATGATGTCTTGTATGTTCTTTCTATGTAAAGAATCTTGATTAGGTTGGATTAATTTCTTGATAAATTATAAAATGAGGCTAGAAGAAAGGGAGATCAAGGTGTTTGATGAAAGGTCTAAGCAAATTTTAAAGGAACCTTTATCAACCAACTAGACATTCAAGATCATGATCAACATGCTAGACCATCAATGTCTTGCATCAACCATAATTGAAGATCAAAATTAGATTTAACATCAGAGGTATGGCCATCTCAATTTCAGAAGTCTCAGTTTGGTGCACATGAAGAAAATGGTGGATGGTCTTCCTTAGATTATAACGCCAAAACAACTATGTGAGGATTGTTGCATTGCCAAACAGGCAAAAGGTCATTCAAACCAGACTTACCAATGAAGTCACATCAAAATTTGGAGATAGTGCATTCATATATGTATGTGGTCCCTTTAAAGTGAAGTCACTAGGAGGTAATTTCTACTTCTTAACCTTCATAGATGAATTAATTATATGTGTGTGTGTGTAGGTGTGTAGGTGTGTGTGTGTAGGTGTGTGCGCGCGCACGCATCTTCATATTTTGCAAACCAGCATGAAGTTAGAACATCATACATACCTCAACATAATGGCATTGTTGAGATAAATAACAAAAGTATCTCGAACATGACAAGAAGCATGCTTAAGGAAAAGCAAATGTTCAATCATTTTTACGGTGAAGGCATTTTAACTGCTGCGCACATCATCCATAGATGTTTAATAAAGAAGTTGAACAATAAGAAACCTGATCAGTGCATCTTTATGCACATTCTCCTATATTTTTACTTAGACATTTCTCTACTTTATTTTGATTATTCTTATGTTTTATTATGTTTTTATATTTTATTTTATTTTTAGTTTAATTTGATTTTCGCACTTTATTTTTCAGCTTTAGCAGTTTGTACGGAAACGATCATAAGTGGAGTTCCGGGAATCCGTTTGAGGCATTCTAATAATTGCCGGAAATTTAAGAGAGAGAGCTACGACTTTCGTGTTGGAGTCGAAGTCAGATTCTGAGCACATTTACCCAAAATATTCGTTGAAGTTACAGCATTGGGAATTTGTTTTAGTTTTGGATTATGTTTTCGACCCAGTTGGGTTATGAACCGGATCCCTTGTTTTTCTTTTTAGGAGAAACCACGTTTTACTGTGGATTATCATACACTATTCACGAAAAATAATTGGACGCTTGAAAAAAACGATGGAGAACTAATCTCTCCCGACAGATTCACTGTACTCAGGTTTCAAACTTTGAGATTGTTATGATATTTACAATTTAAATTCGATTCCTTTCAATTATATCATGTGATTGTTGTTTGCTTAATTCGATTATCATATAGTATATTTGATTTAATTTGATTGATCTGTGTTTCTAATTTTAATCGTAGATTAACTCTGCTTAATTGTTAATTTGTGCTATCCTTTACCGTATGCTTAATCTGACGATAGGAACATGTTTCTCATGATATCAATCACGCTTGTTGACTGATATTGTCATCAAATAGGATAGAAGTTCCGTTTGGGAAATTGTATTTTCATCGGTCGATGATTAGTAAGAACTGAGGCAGCGGATCCGTTACTATAATCACTTTAAGATCTTAGGTATAAAACCAAGCATTGTTCATATTAAGATCTTAGGCTTATTTTGCTACATACATGTACCTGAACAACTTAGAGGTTATCAAGTAGTGCAGGTAGTGTTTGCAGAAAAAATATTGAAGAGTGAGGAGAGGATTTTCGTGAAAAATAAAGAGAGAGGTGAGAGTTAAATTTTTTGCTCCTCTCTTTCATGAGAGTGTGGGATAATTCTTTGTACAAGATGAGAGAAAACTTGAGGGTAGTGGTATTTGTGTGGTTTTAGTAATCTGATCTCAAAAGATGTCTCCTTTATTCATAACAATGGGAGATAATTTAGTATTGTGTGACCTCTCTTTTTTGTCGTTTTTCAATTTATCCTTTCATGCGCCGAGAATACTAAAATTTTAGGGGACCTCACCAATGAGAGAGAAAAGCATCTTTTGAAAGTGAGAAATTAATTGTGAATGGGTTGCATTGTAACACAAGGATGTGACATGTGGAATGGTTTGTTAGTAGAGAGAATATTCTCTCTTTTTTGTGAGCTGACAATTGAGTGTGTGGAAAATGATCAATCAACTTCCTTTTATTGTTTTGAAAATATTAAAAAACAAACTTACTAAAATAAAAAACAATTTCTCAAAATAAATTAAAATTAAATATGTAATTAATTCTAATTAAAAGATTATTTTGAATAAAAAATAGGCTTAATTGCAATTTTGATCCTTTTTTTTTTTTTTTTTACTTTTGGTCCCCTTATTTAAAAATCCAAAATTTTTGTCCCCCTATTTACATTTTTGTTGACTTTTAATCCCGCTATTTTAAAATCTGAAATTTTGGTCCCCTTATTTCATTTTTTTAGACTTTTGGTCCCCTTTTTCAATTGGGGAAAGGGCTAAAATCCAAAACAAACTTAAAATAGGGGGACCAAAAGTAAAAAAAATAAAAATAGAGGGCCCAAAATTTTGAATTTTAAAAAAAGGGGATCAAAAATAAAAAATAATTGAAAATAGGGGGACCAAATATTTGAATTTTAAAATAGGGGGACCAAATATCTGAATTTTAAAATAGGGGGACCAAAACTAAAAAAAATGAAAATAGGAGGACCAAAATTGCAATTAAGCCTAAAAATAAAAATAAAAGAATTAAAAATGAATAAAAGTCGAGCGCAAAAGTGTTCGAAAAATAAAAATAAACGCACTAAAATGATCGGCGCAGAATAAACCTCTCGAAAAAAATACAGTGTTTGGTCAGATTTTGAAATAAATTTTGACCGGTTAAAAGGCCCAGCTGAAAAAACGCGACTGAAAAAGTTGTCAAAAAAATAAAACGAGCACGTCAGGTTAAATTATGCAAACCGTAGATTAATGATACTGACGTCTGTAATCTCGATTTTGAAACTTTTCGTCTACTGATTTTACGTATATTTAAGAAATGATTCAACTAATCTGTCTGTAAATCCAAAAATTTATTCTGGTTGACATTTTAGATATTATTCATGATGAAAGGCATGCTATATTGTAAAGA